CCACGGGCAACTAGGGCCTCCTGAGTCTTGGGGGGGGACCCGCAGAAGCCAGCGGCAGGGATGGAGCTGGCGAGCACCTGCAGACGCTGGCGGCAGGGACGGAGCTGCCAAGCACCTGCAGATGCTGGTGGCAAGGACAAAGATGGCGAACATTACGTAGACACCAGCGTCAGTGTTGACGGTGGAGACAGAGCTGGTGAGCACCTGCAGACACTGCCAGTGGCGTCAGCAGTGGGGACAGCCTTGTCAGGGGGGACACATGCCCCCTGTGCCAGTCGCCTATGATAACAGCTTTATGCTAGAAAACCTATGTGGTCCTGGCTGACCTACTACTGCTACCATGCATGCTCTGTCTACCATAGCTGTTGCTCTTAAACAGCGGCAGCTGGGAATTGTTTTGGAGTTCCCAGCATGGCATGCTGCCAGGGCACAGATTCTAGGGCAGTGGTCACTAACCAGTGGATCTTGATCCACTGGTAGATCTTGGAGCCTCTTACAGTAGATCTCAGAGCCTCCTGGAGTCGATCTGAGGCTGGGGTAGGGGGCTGAGTGCCCGTGTGCATGCACACACGTGCCTCAGCCCAGCAAGTCAGTCCATGGGGGAGGGAAGGGGCAGGGGTTAGATCAAGGCCTCCATGGTGAGGGACAGTGCTACAGAGGCAGGAACAAGGGTAAATTGAGGCCGGGTGTGACTTCTCCCTCTGCCTCGATCTGCCCCCCCTTCCCTCCCCACAGATTTACCTGCTGGACGGGGGGAGGGGGGGAGGCGGCACATGATAGATCTTGTGTTGCTTTTAAATGCCAAAGGTGATCTCCTACTTCAAAAGGTTGGAGACCACTGCTCTAGGGGGAAGGGGACAATTCTAGTGCCCATCCTAACTTGGTGTTTGGGGCAGGTGCCTCTCTCGTCCACTTTTAGTTACAGTACCGTGTACATTTACAAATCAAGAAGTTTTGGTCACCTTGAATAATTCACAACCCAAGACATATAAGTCATGCCTGTGCCTTTCCTGTTTTGAGAGAGAGAACTGTGAATAACTGGTACCATTTCAGACATGAACAACGCGTGCCCCCAGAGGATGTGGGGGCATGGCGACTGCCCGCAGGCGGTGGCAGCAGTGGTGTCAGTGGTGGGGTCGGGCCGAGCAGGGAGCTCCCGCAGGCAGCTGCGGTGGTGCCAGCAGTGGGGGCAGGGTGGTAAGCACTGACTGGCGGTTGGTGACTACCTGCAAACACTGCTGGCAGCATCAGCAGCGGCCAGGGGTGATTGAGGACTGCCCACAGACACCACTGGCAGTGTCGGTGGTGGGGAGGCGGGGGATGGTGAGCAGCGACCGCCTGCCAGCGCCACTGGTAGTGTCGGCAGCACTTTTCACAGAGTGTGCATCGCCAACCTCAGGGGGTGTACATGCACCCCCTACGTGTCACCAATGATTTAAGATCAAAATAGCCAAAACATCATTCAGAGAAGTGACCTTTTCTTTCATTTCCAAATGTGCTGTAGTTTGAGAAACACTGAAGAAACTCACTTTAGACACATCGATTCTAGACAGTACTCCCCAGTGTCAAACTTATGATTCCCAAACAGGCTCATAGATAATTTAGTCAAAAGATCACTAGAGAAGCCTAACTATCTGAAGCTAATATTCTAGATGTAGCACACCCTGGAGTCAGGCTAGGACATGTAGCTGAAATAAAGTCAGGAACAAATCTACTGTCAGTGGATAGATGGCAGGCATCCACTCTCATCTGCCTGAAACTGTAGCACGTTCACCTTGAGATATGTTTTACCTGAGAGAGGCATTAAGGATCCAAGGATATATTCTGAGTCCTTTTCAGAAGGACACAGTCCACAAGTAGTAACAGGAAAACTGTGCTTCCTCCAGTAGATCCCTCTTACATGGAATTTCATAAGGATCAATTCTTTAAACAACCGCTATGTCAACTGGTCTGATAAAGACTCAAGTGGTGGCAATAAACATATAACAGCTCTACCAGTCCTTCACCACATGCTATTAAGCCACTACTACTGAGATGGCCCTGCAGGGAAAGAACAGCTGGCTGAAGTTGAACCTGACAGGTGTGGGGTCAAACTGGGTTTGAAGAGTTTGCATGGTGAAATCGCCTTTGACTGAGGCACAATTGCTCAATTCAGCATGTAGTTTGGGAATGCTTTTGGCTTCCTCACTAACACTAAAATTCTCACAAGTAACTTGCCTATCATTTTTGGCTTGATAAGTGGCTCTCACTAACCCCGGCAGACATTAACCTGGCCTCAGTTATTCAGAGAGGGAGCCACACTAGCTTGCCACAGACAGAAGGCAGGGTAGATTGGCATCAGACTGAATCAGAGCTACACAAGTAAGCGACAGCTTGCTTCATCAGAAGCTAGGAAGCTGCTGCTTAGTAAGGCTTGCGCATCTCCAATTTAGTCTGCAAGGTACAACTCTAACTTCCTTCTGCCTTGGTCACTCATGCCTTTATTGCCTCTTAACAGGTCTGCAGCAACACTGTCCCCAGAGGCGAGATGTCCTCAGGAGTGTGTTGGTGTCAGACCCACATTACCAGACCCAGAGGCTCAGACCCACACTCTCATTCTAGTGCACCTTAGCCTGGGTGTGGGCTACTGAAATGCAGGGGGAAGACTGAGCTTGACAACTTTGCCCACTCCAGGCACCAGGGCCTCTCCCCACTGCAGCTCTCACTGCCCCCCACCTCCTTTGCCTTCCAGGCCCTAACCCCCAGCAGAAGCAGCAGCGCCTCTAATCAGTGTCACCCTCAGAAGATCCCCTGCCTCCCCCCTAAGCAAACCCCTGCTCTCTGCTGCAAGACTTGGGAAAACCAGGGTGGATTTGATTCAAATCAAATTAAATCATGATTTAAATCACTGGTAAGGGAGCCTTGATTTAATAATTGGTTTCTAAAAAAAGTTAATTCTTGTAGTTTGATATCCTTTATTAATTTAACTTCTTGAAACTTTGCACTAAGAGAGAGGTAAGGGCTTGACTGTGTGTACACAAACTTGCAGAGAGACAACAGGGCTGATGAGTGGGTAATCAGGTCTGTTCGCTCTCACCTCCATACACTGCTGTTCACAAGGATGTTATCTCTAGAGACAACATGCTCCCCCTGTGCTTGAAGAAGGGCGTTTGTGCCCAAAAGCTTGCAAAGAACAATTTTTTCAACTATTTAGTTGGTCTAATAAAAGCTATTGCATCTACCCAAAGAACCTTGTCTGCCTATGCGCTCTAGAGACACAAATCCAGTTTCATAGTTTCTAGGGGCAGAACAGACCTGAACAGATCATCAAGTCCGACCCCCTGCCCTGGGCAGGAATGAGTGCTGGGATCATAATACCCCAGCCAGATATCTATCCAACCTCCTCTTGAAGACCCCCAAGGTAGGGGAGAGCACCACTTCCTTTGGGAGCCCATTCTAGAGCCTGGCAGCCCTAACCATAAAGTAATGCCTCCTGGTATCAAGCCTGAACCTGCTTTCAATCAATTTGTGGCTGTTATTCCTTGTTATCCCAGGTGGTGCCCAGGGGAACACAGCCTCATCTATTTTCCGCTGGTCCCCCCTGACGAATTTATAAACAGCCACCAGATCCCCTCTCAGTCTTCTCTTGTGGAGGCTGAATAGATTCAGGTCCTTTAGTCTATCTTCATAGGGCCTGGCCTGCTGCACCTGGACCATGCGAGTGGCCCTCCTCTGGACCCTCTCAAGGTTAGCCAGATCCCTCTTCAAGTGCGGTGCCCAGAACTGGATGCAATACTCCAACTATGACCTGACCAGCACTGCATAGAGGGGAAGGATCACTTCCCTGGACCTGCTTGTGATGCATCTGTAGATGCACAAGGTGTAGTTAGCCTTACTGACCACTTCCTTGCATTGGCTGCTCATGTCCATCCTGGAGTCAACAATGACTCTAAGATCCCTTTCGGCTACCGTGTTAATAAGAAGGGTGTTCCCTAGCCTATAGGTATGCTGCAGGTTCCTTCTCCCTGGATGCAGTACCCTGCATTTGTCTGCATTGAATTCCATTCTATTCTCATCTGCCCACCTCCATAACTTGTCTAGATCTAGATGAATTCTGTCCCTCCCCTCCAGTGTGCCCACTTCTCCCCCACATCTTTGTGTCATCAGTGAATTTGGACAGCGTGCTTTCCACGCCCACCTCCAAGTCACTGATAAAGATGTTGAATAGCACAGGCCCAAGGACCGAGCCCTGGGGAACTCCACTGCCCACATCCCTCCAGGTTGAAAATGACCCATTCACCACCACTCCCTGGGTACGACCATTGAGCCATTTTGCCACCCATCTGACTGTGTAGGCATCAATGCCACAATTGCCTAGATTTTTTATGAGCATGGGGTGAGAAACAGTGTCAAAGGCCTTCTTGAAGTCCAGGTAGACGACATCTACCTCAACACCTGCATCCCAGGACTTTGTGACCTGGTCATAAAAGGAAACAAGGTTAGTCAGGCAGGATCTGGGCCCCTAATATATAACCCATGGCCTGCTGTGACCTATTTATAAAACATCTAAAAAGGTTTAATGAATATATTGTCTCAAACAGTATATAACTAGAAGTTATAATCCCAATTCCATGATACCTTTGAGCTTTAACATAAATTAAAACTCTATATGTTTTTTTTAAAACAGCATCTTAACCAAAAACAGATTAAATACAAAAAAATCTGTTCTAAATTAAAAAAAAAGATTTTGTTTTTTAATCGTTTTTTTATCCACCTTGGGGAGGCACGTGGGCCAGAGCACGGTGGCCTGTTTACTACGCCTCTGCGCATGCGCTGGACAGCTACCCCCTCCCCCCCTCTATTCCCACCCTTTCCACGAGGAGAGGCCCCGCCCCCCTCCGCGGCTGGGGCTAAACGGGCAGCAGCCCCGCCCGCTCATGCGCAGTAGCGCCGTAATCAGGCGAGCGGCTCCTCCCCCAGCACGGCGCCCGCGCGGACGCCCCCGGGCAGGGCGAGCGAGCGGCGGCGCCTGCGCAGTGGGGCTACATCCGGGCACTGGGGCAGGATGAATGCTCCTTTCCAAGATGGCGGCGGAGGGAGGAGGGAAGGAGATGAACGAGATTAAGACCCAGTTCACCACCCGGGAGGGGGTGTACAAGTTGCTGAGCCACTCGGAGTACAGCCGGCCCAACCGCGTGCCCTTCAACTCGCAGGGCTCCAACCCGGTCCGCGTCTCCTTCGTCAACGTCAACGACCAGAGCGGCAACGGCGACCGGCTCTGCTTCAATGTGGGCCGGGAGCTCTACTTCTACATCTACAAGGGGGTCCGCAAGGTACCGCGGGGCCGGGGCTGCTGCGGGATGGGGGCCTGCGCCCGCAGCTGTGCCCCGGGGGAGGGAGCCCGGGCCCGGGGGACGCGCTTCGGCCGTCCCCTGATCGCAGCCTCTTGCTGGTGCCCCGCGGGTGCGTGAGACCCCGAGCTGGCTTCTCTCCCTGGGCCAGGAGACAACTGCGCTGCTGGACGTGGGCAGAGGCAGTGATGTCGGCGTAGGCAGAGAGGGGCGTGTAATCTCTGCCGCCTTTGGGACCCCCCACTCCCCCCGGCCCCTGTGCTCAGGGTGGGGAGCCGAGGCACGAGGAGAGCCAGCGACTCGCCCAAGGTCACACGGGGAGGCTTGTGGAAATGCTGCCTGCATCTCTGGGGTCCCTGGGGAGTGCCCCAACCGCTCCTTGCTAAGCACAGCCAGGAGCTGAGGTTCGGTTGTCAGTGGCCTGGGACCCACTGGATCCCATCTATTGCTAGTTTCTGTGAAATGGGTACATGCGCTTGTTTGCCTTCATGCCTGCTGCATCAGTCCCACTTGTTTGGGGGGCTCTCAGCCACATTTGTGAATGTCAAGACTTAATTATCAACTGCTCTTTTTCTAAGTTCCTGAAAAGTATCTGGTGTTTGAACAGAAATATTTCTCACTCATGTGAAACAGTTGCTAGCTTTACTACTTTCCTTTCTATAGGGAGGATGCAGTGTCCACAGATCACTGGCAGCAGCCTCCTCTCTTCATCCTGCCACCCATATAATCTAGACTTCTGTGTTCTGTGTCTGTTCTGTGTAGGGGATAGCTGGCGAATT